GGGGGACTGGCTTTTGTTCCCTGAGACTGTATTACCTCAGGTGGGGAAGGACCAGTTTATTCAAAACCACCAATTAACTTCCCAAGCTTTTTTGGGGGGGGGGCTGCAGGTGGGACCACCCCCGACCAAGCCATTCTTCCCCCAGGCTAGACTGACAGGCCTCTCTAATCGCCATAGAAGCACCTCCCCCTGAGCCATTTTGACTCCTACTGCGCATGTGCTTACCTCCCCCTTCACTGTCCAGTCGTGCCCCCCCCCCCATCTGGTGTGAAGCTGTAACTTCCTGGCCAAACAATGTGATTCCCTTTGCGCTCTTCCTTTAACATCTAGCTACCTACACTAACACCTGGGCCTCAGGAACCAAATAGGGGAGATGTGGGGGGGGCTATAAACCTAAAGGGCATCCTGAAAAAGCCACCTCTGACCTCCCTTAATGTCAGAGGCCTGCAGGAGAGGTTGGCCTGGGCCTGAGGGGAAATGGAGGTACAGTCTCCCTCTTGGAATGAGGCCCAACACAGTCAATGGCTAGTGGGGTGAGGAGTGGAAGGAGCCAGTCAGAGGGCTTCCTCCCCCTTTCACTTCTCTGCACCCACTTCTCCGTCCTTCATCCTGGGATAGCAGAGCAAGCTGCTGCCGGGCTGGCCAAGGCCCCTCTCCCCTGGTCCTGTCTGTGGCCCAGCCTCAGTCCCTGTGCCTCTGAAATGTAGGACAGTGATGATTAGACACTACAGCTGTATGAGCAGCCTCTGATGTACGGCAAGTGCTCAGTAAGTGAGTGCTAGAAGTATTGATGGCTCAGAAGCCAGTCCTTACCTGGCCTGAGGGGACGCACCCTCTGTGTCCTCAGATGGCCCTAACCCACTAAACATCCTCCAGGGCCCCCAAGGGCTGGTAGTTGTGTCAGTGTGACTTCACCTGGAGGAGCCCAGAGGGAAGCTGTGCCCTGAGGGGAGTCCCACCATAGGGGAAGGGTATGAGGAGAAGATCGGCTGGAAGATTTCTGGGCCCCCACAAACAGGGGCTGCCTACTCAAGACCCATAGATCCAGGGCACCCCTAACCCCTAAGTAGCCCCTGCTGGGCACCCAAACTTCTCCATGAGGACCCACAACTCCAGAAACTGCCCCCC